GTTTATGGGCGACAATTTGCCCAATTACAAATTAACCTTTGGTGGGGTACTTATTATGTAATCAGATAAATACGTTTTTGATACCAGTCTTTCATACCAGGTACACGAGTATCTGAAAATCTACGGCTAATGTCTAGCTTGCCAGGCAATCCTTGATCTGAAAATGGCAAGTAAATCAAAGACCTGCTTAGATAGATGCTCATATGAAATGTCAAGCTACTGAAATTGCCAACCCTGGGATATCTATTGCTTAAACGACCGATTATCCAAAAGGGCATCTTGCAACTTAAATGTCAATTATCTAACAAATTGCAAACGAAGGTGAAACAAGCATGGCCTTCTGTATCTGACATTTTTTGTGAGAAATATATTTTTCCTGTTACTCACTAACTGACATGTTTTGTGAGAAATGAATGTTACAGTTACTTGAGAAATGATCATGTGATGTAGGATTGTCTGATAATTATACTGTGCAGGTATTTCTGAAGTGTATCTGCACCTACATGTAACCTGCATTAGGTACAAAAATATGTAGGTGGATTTTTGCCTTCTGTTCAGCAACGTTACTAAATACCTTAACCGACCTCAAATGGCCCCAACTGACCCTTCCTGGTAAAATATGGAGTTATAAATGGGTTATAAACCCTTTTTAACACTATTGATAAATAGGAAAAACACTAACTCTGACATTTTTACCAGCTTTTTTTGCAGTGCACCATGCGCCATATTGTTTGTTCAGCAACTATTGCCTCAAATTAAAAAAAAATAGAGATACCTCATGTAACTTGTTTTAAGGCTATTTTATAAGCTTCAAGTATAGAATAATGACAAAAATGTGATAAGAAATGGCAGTAAATATCAATATCAAACAGATTTCCTCATGCAGAAGACTTTTTGTTGAGCTGCCGTAAAATTGCATTGAATGCCTTTTAACTCTCCACAGGAGTTTGTCACATACAACTTTTACAAGCACTATTGTTATACTTGTCAAAGAAACCAAAGAGGCTGCAAGCAATAGAAACTTATGATATCATGTGATGCAGGCATTATCTAATTCAGCGTAAGAAACACTGGTACGGAGCTTGGGGCACAGTGACATGCAGCTCTGACAATCTAATATAACCAGCTGCCACATTCCTGCTGTTTTCCCAAAGGCTATAATATGTTGTATAGCAACACACGTAAAACAGATATTGATCAAAGTCTCCAAAGAGGCTCCGGGTACGGCAGCTACGCAACAGGCTAATATCTCGCTATCAATGCCCTTTACGGAAGTCCTCTGACGCACATTGCGAACAAAAACACAGCTACACTAAGTTCTATCCTTGGCGCTAATGCCATATATGGTATCACATCCGAGTGGTACATTGTGGAGAACCCTTGGAGACTGTGTGACAGCTTTGAACTACACCCCGTTCATTTGTCAGGACTACTTTGTGTTTGGTCTAACTTCATGCATCATCAATGGGGAACCCTAAATCCTATAACCCTCTCGACAGCAGTTTGTCACATTCAAGCAAAGATTATATTTGTCAAAGATGTGCAAAAACCCAAGGGCCTTTACAGAGTTAGCGCAGCTGGCGGTGGAAACGTACGATTGACGCAGGTGTGCAGAAATTACAGAGCGCCCCCTCGGCGTTACATTCTGACGTGTGTGGAGCGTACGGTGGATACAGGTGGACATGCCCCAATGGGAGATCATGACGGCTGCTGACGCAAACTCCCCTTGTCTCCAGGCCCAGCTTGTTTGTCACCCACACTATCACCAACATTAGCCTGTCTCGGTTAATGCCCTTCTCCTGGGGGGCTCTTGTATCAACACTGCACATGCTACTGAATCATTGATCAATGAGCAGCCTCTGAGGACCAGGAAATTCTAACTACTTCTGGTATCTGTTCAACTGAGGTCCATTCAAACAGAATTGAGGTCCACCTACTGATGTTTCAGTGGCAAAAATTCAACTTGAAACTACATAATTTCATATCATTACGACTGCTGACGCAAACTCCTCTTTTCTCCAGGCCCAGCTTGTTTGTCACCCACACTATCACTGACAGTGGCCTGTCTCGGTTAATGCCCTTCTTGACGGGGGTCGCATCAACACTCCACATGCTACTGAATCATTGGGCAGCCTCTGAGGACCAGGAAACTCTAACTACTTCTGGTATTTGTTCCACAGAGCTCCATTTGAATAGGATTGAGGTCCACCTACTGATGTTTCAGCAGCAAATATGAGACATCATTACAACTGCTGACGCAAACTCCTCTTGTCTCCTGGTCCAGCTTGTTTGTCACCCACACTATCACTGACAGTAACCTGTCTCGGTTAATGCCCTTCTGGTGGAAGGTGGTCATATCAACACTCCACATGCTACTGAATCATTGGCCAGCCTCTGAGTCTGAGGACCAGGAAACTCTAACTACCGGTACTTCTGGTATCTGTTCAACAGAACTCCATTCACAAAAGGATCAAGGTCCACCTACTGATGTTTCAGTGACGATTATTAGACTTGAATCTTAATTTCATATCATTACAACTGCTGACGCAAACTCTTCCTGTCCCTAGGCCTAGCTTCTTTGTCACCCACGCTATCACAGACAGTAGCCTACTTCAATTAATGCCTTTCTTGTGGGAGGGGTCATATCAACACAATGACTGAGCAACCTCTGAGGACCAGGAAACACATTCAAACTACTCTTATTTGTTGAACAGAGCTTCATTTTCAAAAGGATTGCTGTCCTGCTTTGGATGTTTCAATGAACAATGTTAAACTTGAAAACTTCATGTGTTGCCGGCAAGAATCTCAACACAATTAATGCTACTGCATCATCATTTAGATGTGAAGGTCACTGAAGAAGAAAAGGGTAATTTCTGGACACTGTCATCAGGTACATGTATTTGTTCAACATACATGTAGGTTGAAATCAAAACTATAACATTCTAAAATACTTATCATAAGAATAGGATTGCATTCAAAATCCTCTAATTGCCATAACGTGTCCAACATACAAGTCATTATATTTTGATGATTGAACATTGCCTTACACTTTTATGTGTTACAGTGAAATTCCTTTCCAACCATGTATAATTTGCCGAATGAAGTTTTGAATAAATGTGTGGGAGTCTGAGTTTTAACTTTAAGGACAGTAGACATCTCTAAAGACTCACTCAAGAACTCCCATCACTGTAACAGTGATTCATACATGTATCCCCCCACATGTCAACGTCCCCTATAGCTGAGCGATTGCAAAAGGAAACCGCAATTATGTCAAATACGTCATTCTGACTCCCCGACGACAGAGTCTTCAGTCATGGGGAATGTTACACCGCCTCCCTTGTCAAGATAATTTAGACCACACAAAAATCAATAAATCCTTCTTTGATGAATTTCTCCCTTTCCTTTCATGGCAAAACGAAGAAGGAAAAAGCAATGCCGTGGCTATGACGTGAAACAGCTCAACTGAACATGCGATTAGCCAATTGGGAGACTCTAGGGATCACATATGGAAGCCCCATCTCAAATTATAGTGAGGTACAGAACAGAGTCAAGAAAAATAAAGGTCCATACGAAGTCCTCCTAACTATTAGCAAAGAAATGAAAACTGATTTTGTATACCATAGCCATGTGTTATGGTCATAAGTCAAAACTATGATATGCAAGGAACAGTCCTGTGAGGAAGAAAGAGGGGGTATGAAATTTTTAAAATGGGAGGATAAATCACATATCAGAGAATGGACAGACATGGCACTAAGTGAAACATTAAGAGGAAGAGAAAACCAAGATGGGTGGAGAAAACTGGTAGACAGATGTTCTGTGGTGCCCCAATGCAATGGTCAAATAATCAAACTTAGGGATATGATTTGAGATGAGATGAGAACATGCATGGAAATGAACAGCAATTAGATTAAGGGGCAATAACAATAATATTTGTTCTTAATATTTGTTAAAGAATTTCATGTTTACCTCCATAACACCGAGGTACTTAATAGATGACAACTCAAATTTCTTTTGTTCATTTTTCACTCACATTAGTATCATCTTGGCCTTGTACAATCATGTATACTGACTTTGAAAAAATATGTTGATCTGGGGAAAATGAAACTTGTGTCTCCTTATGACTAATGGTATGTAAACCACAAACACACAGAGTTTAGTCCGGTTGCTTGCTGTGCACTTATATAATTTGCCAGTTTAATGGAGATGTGGCTTATGAGGATTTCCTGACTTCAGTGTTAGGTACTTTATTGAGAGTACTTACTAATGGCAGGAAAGGCTCCAAATCCCATAGGATTAACCTACAGGGTGAATAGGCTTTAACGTCAAGCAGGGAACGTAAGCCTCAGCTTGAGATGATTATGGTGCGTAAAATCATTCTTGACTCGTGACAGACAGATAAGACTGGCTGATTAACTGTCTTTCCCCTGATATGTAAGCCTGGAGCAATTCATAACATACTCTACCAATTCATTATTGAGATATGATCACTAGTTAAGACAGTTTGTGTTTCTGGGTACCTTCATAAATTACTTTTGAAATTGCTTTATTCCTATGCTTTTTACCATGAACTTTTAACTGTTTTTTCTTGTCTGCTTTTGGCCCACATGTTTTCATTGAGCTTGAAAATGCTTAGACCTTACTACTAAGACCTTGGATTCAAGCAAAAAATTAATGCAGTCTGGTTCATGTGGCATTAATGTGTGAAATAGTGACCTCTTGTGGGAACTGCAAGAACTGCAGTGTCAGTCAGGCAAAATTCTGCAACTGTAAGTTTACAAGTTGTGCAGCTCAGATACAATCAAACCTGCCCGAGAAGGTTTTCTTGGACAGGTGGCCTTCTTGGGCAAGCCACTTTATGCTTGCATCTGTGAAAAAAAATTCTGACCTGGAAAATTGGTTGTTATAGCCAGGTGGCCAGTTAAGAGGTAACTGCTTTGGCAAGTTTGACTGTACACAGTTCTAGACAAAAGGGTACATGTAATAGATTTATGTACATGTACCTTTCCCAGGTAGATGTGTCCGACTGACTCCACATACACAGGTGCCTCAGGAGGGGCAGACAGACAACTTTCTGCCGAGGTTCCAATCTGCGAGGCAAAGTAACGACTCAGTCCCTCCATCTGGGGTTTGGAAAAATATTACACAATATGGGTTGAAACATGAAATTATGAGCTATGCAATACAAAACTTCACGTTTTCAGCTGGACATAGTTACTTTGGCCCTTGCCATAGCTCCAACCACCTCACCTATATATGCAGAATAAGAACATAAAAATGCAAAGATTCAACAGACACTCACACAGTTACTCTCATTGGTCGAACAGCTAATTGCCATTCTCTCATTGTTTGAACTGCTAATTGCCATTCTCTCATTGGTTGAGCTGCTAATTGTGATGGACAGTCAGCTCTACAATGCCCGAGTCTGAGTACCTTACCTTTTCCATGTTGGCCACCAATTTCCCATAATGCTCCTTGGGAAGAAGCTGCTTTTTGACAGCTGGTAAGTACATCTGCAAAGTACAGGGAATCAAGTTAGTAATTGATGCTCTATACTTTACATCTGAGAAACAGATTAACTTCAGCATGCTTACCGTAATAGGAGTTAGTACCGAAACCTAGTCCTTGTGTCCAATATTTTAAAGCTACCTTATGTAACATTTGGATACAAAAAAGTCAATTTTCTAGTCATTTCTTTATAAAGTCGAATCAACACCACTCAAGTGGAGGTGCCAAAGTATTACAGCTTACAAGAATGTTTAAAAGCTGGGAACACAGCTGTCAGTTATGTTTGTTTACATTCTGGTATTTTGTGGTGGTGCCCCAAAATGAGTAACCCTCATGTGGGCTGTTTTGATGCCAACCATCAATGTCAAAAATGTGAGATAATTGCACAAATATGTTGAAAAGTGGAAGTTAGTAATTACAATCACAAGAAGATGTTTTCTATTAGAATATTTCACTTTTTGGCACAAAAATGTTACATAATGCCACTTTAACAGTTGTTTGATAATCAAACCTATAACAGGTACAAGTTTGTGTTAAGTCACAGTCCCTTAAACTCTCCACATGCTGATTTTGGTACCTTCATCACCATAGTGCTGTGTGAATCATAATCTTACCCATCGCAAGCGGAAACTTGCTATAACAAGCTGTGATTGTGAAAAAATACAAATATGTGGTGTCAACAAAAGGCAAGCATGCTATGAAAGGGTGATATTTGCTATATGCTAAAATTAATGAGGTGATCGCAAAATTATGATATCAAAATGCAACGAATCACATATGTACAATGTATATGATATACAATGTACTAATTATGCTACCCACCACCTTTGTTAAAATATACTTTCAGTGTTGCTACCGATTAATGTATTATTTGTTTATTTATTTTTAACTTTTATTTGTTGCTTACAGTGTATGTTTTATTTGAATTGAATCTCTGAACCATGTGCACTATTACAAATGTACCTCATCTATTTCTGTATATCTACAATGTACCTCCTATGTTACCTTTTGATTTGATTTGACTCTGTACCATTTGTATTCTAATGTTTTCATTTGTTGGGCTGGGCTGCGTGTAGTGGCAAGACACAAAAATAAACTTTCATTCATTCATTCATTTATCTATTCATTCATTCATACAACATATTGCAAACTTTCTGGAATTTCTGGCAGCCCCACCTGCATGCCACTCCTGAGGGCTGCAGCGAAATGTTCCTCAGACTTGAGGATGGTGTGGATGGCCTTCTGACGGGACTGTTCCAACTGGCACAGGGTCTGCACAACAGGGAGAGACAGGGAAAATAATGTTGATGCCAATTAGTAACTGTGAAATATGGATGTTACTAGTAGTCCATAGTACTATTATGTTAAACATAAATCCCTGAACACAATGTACAAAAATCACGCCTGTCCCTGTCCCTGTCCCTGGTACTGAACACCATATACAATATCACACCAGGCCCTATGCCTGGTGCTGAACACCATATACAATATCACACCAGGCCCTATGCCTGGTGCTGAACACCATATACAATATCACACCAGGCCCTGTCCCTGGTGCTGAACACCATATACAATATCACACCAGGCCCTATGCCTGGTGCTGAACACCATATACAATATCACACCAGGCCCTGTCCCTGGTACTGAACACCATATACAATATCACACCAGGCCCTGTCCCTGGTGCTGAACACCATATACAATATCACACCTGTCCCTGTCCCTGGTGCTGAACACCATATACAATACAGTGTTCGAAATACCCGTCTGCAGTCTGCAATTTGCAGGTAGATTTTCAAGATTGCAGAAGAAAAAATCTTACAATCTGCAATTTTGCAGAAGGAAAAAATAGGCTCCGGATTCAATAGTTTTCAATTAGCAAAGCAGTGGCACTGTGAATAGATCGAAAACCTGCGCCGCACGAACCTGCCGGCGTTTTCCAGCAGACTGTAATGGTCCCATATGAGGGAATTTGGGGTCAAAGTTGAACGATTTCGACAAGGCGACGAAAGGCGACGATAACCAAATATGGGCACTCGCCATTTTCCGATGTTAGATTTCGTCTCCCGGGAGGACCCGACAACTGCCTCGGCAATTTTCGGCAGTTTTCGCTGAGCATTTCCCAGCAGGCAACACGGCAAAGGAAACATGGCTCCTCCGAAAACTTCACTCGCCTCGGCGTTAATTTACCGAAATTTCGATGTTTTTCCTTGGTATTTTGCACGATTCAAGCAAAGAAAACAAGTTGATCACACGAACAAAAGAGAAATACAGCACTTGGAACCTAATGGTCCGTTTTGTTGGGCGGTAATTTCTCATTTCGAGTGAAAATTTACGTGCATCACATTGTGACCATATGGTGTAAAATCAGTGATTTTTGGCTCGATCCGAACCAAGCACGGCCCGTAGACTTGTCCTTTATGATTTCTAGATGACTATCGGTACCAAAATACGGGAAAATATTGTTGCAAAATGAGAGAGACGGAGACTAAGGTAAACTTCTTTTATTTGAAGGCTGGATTTTCATTTTCCTGGCAGGCTTCTTTGTATGTAGTGATTATCAGTTATTCAGTAACAACAAATACGGATTTTTGTTCCGGTCGAAAAAAACGGTCCACCGACGTTTCGGTTTTTTTGGACCGGACCGATAAAACTTTACGGTCCGAACATATTTAAAAGAGTGATATTTTGAAGAATTTCAGTAATGCTACAGATTTACAAAGCTATACCGTTATATATATATATGATGTAAAAATAGGCATTATTGGTTTCAGAAGGTTGTAATATGGGGGCTTGTGTATTTGCAGAAAGTATTTCCAAATTGCAGGACGAAATTTTGACTCTTCTGCAATATTGCAGAGCACTGAAAAAAAGTATTTCGACCACTGCAATATCACACCAGGCCCTGTCCCTGGTGCTGAACACCATATACAATATCACACCAGGCCCTGTCCCTGGTGCTGAACACCATATACAATATCACACCTGTCCCTGTCCCTGGTGCTGAACACCATATACAATATCACACCAGGCCCTGTCCCTGGTGCTGAACACCATATACAATATCACACCAGGCCCTGTCCCTGGTGCTGAACACCTTATCCAATCCAAAAACCATGAACTAAATACAGGATATTAACCCTTTATCATCTCCTATCCACTATTACATAAAACCTTGTCTACCATGATACATATTATGTCTATTGCAAAAACCAACTACTTGGTTATGAATAGAATTACCCACTACACAAGACCCTGTCTATAAAGATGAATAGCACACTTATCAACAGAACAGTCTTTAGTGATAAATCCCTTCGAGGCGCGTTACATAAAACGGTTACCATACATGTCTACCATGACAAATAACAAGCTCAGACCGATCTTACATGTAGCTATAAAGACCACTCACATCCATTTTCACAGGAGACCCTGTCAAAAAAAATCTGCCCCATCCTTTGTAATGATTCTCCATTGTTAGATAAAGCCCTGCCTACATTGATGAAACACCAAACCTTGCCCTTAGTTCTATAGATAGTCTGTTATGTATTACCCTGTCTATGCTGACAGATAGCAAACCTGGCATCAAATCCCACCCTGTGCCTACAGTAATACATCAATACTTACACAACCATTTAACTTCATTTAACCTACAACCCACATCCCAATGTTCTTCAATATTTCAGAGCTGATAAAGTTATAAATAAAGTAAAACAAAAAACAATAAAAAACTTTCTGAACTTCAGCAGCAAACTGCTTGAAGCCTATGTTCTATTTTATAACTGGATGTAGAGAAGTAGTTTGTAGAGTTTTCATAGTGACCTCATGTACTACAGAATTGTTCTTTTCCCTTATGCTGCAAAATAAAACCATTGCAAAAGTACATACATTTACTGTAACACAACTACCATTTCTGTCATAACACACCTAATTACATATTCAAAATTTATAGTATTTCCTCATATGCAAAGTGATGTTATTCACTCTTTCTACCTTGTAGTTTTTGACAGTCCTCTCCCCTCTGGTAGTGACATTACTACAGTCAGCCAGGGTGGTGTTGCTTCGGAGCACATCAACCACGCAAGCCGTCTGGTTCTCCTGACACAGGACATCCACCGCTGGAACCTGTTCCTCCATCTTTTCTTCCTGGGTGTCTTTTTTGGCTGGATGCCCGTCCTGTCGAAAAGAGCAAGCAAAAAACGTCTGCAAAACAAATGCATTGTGTTTACCTTCTCATGGTATGGCCTAAGAAAACTACCGCTCTGTTAATTCTTACTTAAACACATTTATATATATATATAGTGACTATCCTCTCCAACTCTGCTCTGCCACTTGCTACATAATGTATCCCAATACCACAGGGTGTCTGCTACAGTATCAGATACCATGGTGGCCATGGACATGTCTTGGTAGGTGTGTTCATGGTTATCTTACTAAGATTGGCCAATTAAGACAGCCAAACTCAGGAGAGGGAGAGTGAGAGAGAGAAAGAGAGAGAGTGAGAGAGAGAGTGAGAGAGAGAAAGAGAAAGAGAGAGAGAAGACACTATTATGGCAGCAATCTAGAAACATTGCAGCTGTAAAAGCAGTTACTTTCTCCCAAAAACAAACCTTGGTGGGTGTGTCCATGGTTATCTTATTAAGATTGGCTATGATCTCAGCGGTGAAACTGGTGTCTGAGGGTGCCAAAGGACAGGTGAAGTCGGGCGTGTCCAGTCGTACATCTGTGCTGTCCATGGTGAACTGGGTACTATCTGCCGCTGATGCTGCCATAGCGCTAGCAGATGCCGATGCTGGCTCATGCTGCTGTGTGTTAGCAAATCAAGTGTTAAAGCATTCATTTGGTAAATCAGCTGTTGAAGCCCTGATCACATACATTGTACATCCACCTACGATCATCAGCACAGAAAAGATGGAAGCAAACTGATATTAGCATAACGATGAGTTATTGTACACAGGTGTAAGAGGGGTAGAAGGAGATGGATGGGCTCTGCCTTCCAATACTATGCCCTAGACACAATTTTGGGTTAACAAATTTACCCACTGCTCCTACCCTGTCAACCTTAGAAGTGAGAACTTACCGAGGTATTGTCTGCCGCCTGACTGGAAGCCTGTGTAGTATTTCTCCCATTGTTGTCATCTTCAGGCCTCTGCTTACACCGCTGAACCAGCAGGGTCACTGGGCCCTCACAGCTCCTGAGCACAACAACAGTTTCCAAATGTTTTTTTATACTTCACTATATGGGGTATTGGGACTACATGGGAAAGGTTGATTTGGAATAGTTCATTTTGGAATGAGGAGGGAGATGGAGTGAAATATGCTGTATTTGTTCCCAAGCAAATGTCTGCATTTCATTCATAAAACACCAAATCATGCCCTTCTATTATTCATTCAAAAGATTTTGATCCAATGGTTGTAAGAATGCCAAATCTACCTACTCACTGCCAAATGCTCTTCCCCAAATTCAAACCCTGATCATAATAATTTCTGTGGTTGTTTCTTACCTTATTTGGGCAGCCAGTTGGTCAGCAGTAACCATGGTGACGTTGATGCCGTTGAGGCGCAGGATTCTGTCCCCCTCCATTAGACATGTACGGGCCGCCGCTCCGTCTGTGGGGAGGGGAACAACGTTAACAGCAGGATTGTAGTTATAAAGGTAATATTGACATGTAATTAGCTAAGATACAGTTGAACTGAACCTTAAAAGCAGTGGATCTGTATCTATTTCTAGCTGTTCTTGGAAAGATTCTAAAAGTAGTCTAGAGAAATGTTCAAATATGTGTCTAAAATTATCATAATTTCTCATCTAGTACAGATTTAAAAATAAAGGTTTGCAACTTGAAACCAATGCTGGGTGCATACATGTAAGTTACATGTATGTACATGTACAATTACAGTAGTGCATCAGAGACATGGGATCTGCCAGAATATGGTACATGTATATGAGTCATCAAACTTTCAAGGTAGTTTATTTATTTTCACAGTTTTTGAGTTCATGATACTAAGCATGACTGTTTTGTTTCAGCCATGAATCTAAAATTCAGGAAAAAACGCCCTTTCCCCCCTACCATGACATAAAACCACTGTGAAAGTGTGACAATTTTCAGTAGTTTTGAGGCCTGAGAGTCAGTTGCTGAGCCCACCTTTATCCACAGAGTTGACACATACAGGGTTGGCACTAGAGATGGTGAAGCCAAAACTGCCCGATTCTTTTATAATCGTGATCTGCAATGGAAGTAAAATATCATGATAATATAAGCAGGTTTCAACCGCATTATTAAGAAAAGATTGCTGTGATGAAATTGCAGCCCTACGTACTTATGCATTAAATGGGCGTTCAATAAATCTGAACAGATCAGCATAGTTTACTAAAAAAATTCATATGATACAAAAAAACAATATAAATGAATGGTTAGTTCAAACCTGCTGAGGTTGCTCCCACTGCACGTCCCTGTTGATCTTGGGTGGTGGCAGGTTAAACACCTCTCCTCCTGACTCAGGCAGGCTCCGTAATGTGGACCCCGAGGCTGCAGAGGTTAACGTGGGTCTTCTGGCAGCTGACACGGACAACAAATTAGAAATCACATTGTTAACATCATTGCATTGTATGGTCTTAGCAGACTACATGACTGTGTACTACCAGTAATATCAATATGATAAACTAATAACTATTATTATGATTAATTTTAGAGACCACAATCAAGCACGAGCACAGTCCCCTGACCAGAACAGTTGTCTGAAGCAAGTCTCAGTCCCTGAATGAAAAATCTATCTGAGGCACTGTCAGAATTCTTTGGAAAGAACCCTGAGGACAAGAATGATACATTTGTAGTTCCCTAAACAAATTCAATTAGCCATGATTATACTACAAGTACCCTATGTACAAATGTAGACAAGTGTACTATAAAAACAAATAACATGCATTATCCATCTAACTCCTACATACCTTTCATTCTTGCTACAGTGGACCTTCGTGGTCTGATGTATTTGTGGTTACTTTTCCAATACAAGAAAAAATACATCTACAACTGATTACCATTATAATACGATCTGGATCGGGTGCACACAATTAGGTGTAATCAATAATTTGGGTAGCTTAGCACAGATGGTTCTGTCACGTAGAACCATGTATTACCTGTACTGTGTCACGTACACACAGTTATAGGCCCGGTTTACACGGGGCTAAAATATCATTTGGCCTGCGTCAAATTGCGCGGGCGCCGCGGTGCCGCACTCTGCGTTTTGTGCGACAGATTTTTCTAACGTGTAAACAACCTCTGCCACTGCCACGCGGCACCAAATGATTTTTTTTTTTGGCCCTGTGTAAACCGGGCCATAGCCTTGTTAGAATTCTTTTGACAAAAAGGATTGTATGACAAATGTGCCTGTACCTTAAGATAAAAAGCTACGATGTATGCACACAACACACTGGAGTTGACGTAAAAATATCTCTCACCTGTCTTCTTCTTGTCCTTCTTGTTAACGGCCTTCAGGTGCTTGTGGACACCGACCTTCTCGTCCAGCAGGTAGTACCAGCCGTTCACCACCTGTCTCGGGAACAGGTGAGGCAACAGGAGGAACACGATCAGGCCCACCAGCGGAGCTAACACCAGCAGGTAATACACTGGCATGACTTATTACCACCTCGCAATAACACAGATGTGTATCTGGTCAGGAGTGTTATTGCACAGGGCAGGTCTACAGATCAATCAATACTGAATACAGGTAGAACAGTCCTCTATGTAAAGCTGTATCCTGTTCAGTGTGTGTTGTCAGAACACTGGCATGGCAGGCATAGACAGGGCTTGTAATACTGAAAAATATTTCTGCAATGTTTGATTCAGACTGCCATCCGAGATTCCATTCTTTCTTCTTGGCAGCTCACCAGTTATATATCTTAACCATTTGTTCTGCAATCTCAATTTGTTTTCCAACTGCAGGTTGTAGTGGAGTATTTCGAGCCCTGATCTGCGCGTACCTTACAATGATTGTAACGATATGAATCTCGTTCTGACGCACACGTACTTGTTTCTGCAACAACACCTAACTTTGATGTCTAACCTTCATCTGATTCAGTGTAACACCTAACTTTATCCTGTACCAGCGTATAAATCTTTTGAACTACGCAAGTCCTGTTTTGAGATGGAAAAAAGTTCAATCACCTTTTACAATAAGTCTTTTACCAACAAAGATGGGCTTTCATACTAAATTTGTATCCTGTTACATGTAAGGGCAAAGCTGAGCATGTGCATGTTAAGTACATGTGGGAACAAAGCATAATATTACAGCAAGTTATCAACAACACAGAGTGACATGGATGTCTAGTGTGGTATCGCATAAAGGTACAGTTGTTATAGAGGTCATACCATTTAATCAATAAACTGATACAGCAATAACATTCTAGTTTGTAATGTTGTATCCTGTTCAGTATTTTGGATGAATGGAAAAATACCCAGTCAGGACTATAACTCAAAAAGGAGTATCATTAGACTGAAAATAACATACATGTATTATAAGTACTACACTGTCTAACACACGTGTTTCTACAGCAGTGTTTTGTCTTGTTCAGAGTTTGAACATAACATTGCATCCTGTTCATAGCAATCGCAAGGTGTATTGCCTGTACCTTGATAAGAATAAAACCTACTTTTACATTGATTTATAACAACAAATAAAATACTAAATGATAAAAACTACTGATGTCACATACAGATGTAAGATTTGAAATAGAAGAATCTTGAGTGTTTTTTGATAGCCTGCACTTATCAGGAAATTGCTAATGAACAGATGCTGTAATGTAATATGAGCAGCTTCAACTGTAACAGTATAGCAGTGCTAAACATGTATGTGGTCAACAGTACAGAAATGCTGGTTTAGAATCTTTTGTTGTTTACACACAAATTATAACAGTACACATGTATGCTATCCTGGATAACAATTAATTGACCTCTAATGTTGGATGGCACAATTTTTCAGCTAAAACTCTAGCAGTCTGACTGAAATGAAATTGTAAATCTCAACACTATTATGTCAGAATTGCAAATGTATGAAACAAACAGTCTTCTCTCCAGCAAAGAGTCAAAAGAGGATAATTTCCAAGCAGTTCTTTCGGTGGCAAAGTCGCAACCACCTATAACTGCCAAGATAGTATCCAGTAGGTAAGACAATATCCAATAGGGCCAGCTGTTACAAAACGGTACCTAGAAGGTCCCAGTCTTCCCAATCAACCTTGGAGTCTCAGTCTAAAGAGCCAGCTGTTGAATTGAAGTTGGAAGCTTGTATCCACCAAAATTCCACAGGTAGTTGAAACAGTTCCTGATCCACTTGCAGCACACATAAGCACAAGCACATCTCCAGCCAGACTGTCCAAATCTTTTTCCTCACCAGGCAGGAAGGCAAATCCAACTGAGCAACTCAGTCCTCAGTTCACACAACAATAACCTTCACCCTACACTACAGACACAAGGTTTGATCCCAAAAGTACCCAGATGCACTCCAGAACAAGAAAAGGGTTGGTAAAAACATTTGTCCTTTGTTTGACTGCGTCACACTCAGGCACGTGGAACACACATAAGGCCATTAAAGAGCTCTTATCACAAATTGGTACAACTCAGGAAGGGACGGTCATGTCATTACCGAGAGAGAAAATGGCCTTTTATACAGATTGGAGCATCAGCACCAGGAAAGCTGCGTGTGTCATTGTATTGTAAATGTGCTACTCATGATCAGTCATAAATGGCTGGAGGTTGGAGTACTGGCTTTGTGAAGGACAATTCATGTAATGTTGAGCAAAACGAGCACGTCGACACAATGCACTACACCTGCACAAAACCACATTTTCTGTTGGCTGTTTGGTGAACGTTGCATAAGAGTTTTGTCTGTTGCATAAGATACAACACAATATTTGAAAGGTGTCAACATGGGATATTTTTCTTAAATATGTGAGTTGTTTCAATTGAAGAAAGCAAAAGCAAGTAACTGTTGAAGATCAAAAATACATTTCTTAAAAATCTTCGAGACCACTTGTTGGATAAAAGCATCTCTCCAACTAAGCCATGTAATATATTATGATGTATCAGTAGAATGGTAGTTGTAATCCTGACTAAATTCATCATGGGCAAAAACAGCTCCAAATTATGGAGCCAAATTAATAAAAAAAATCAATAAAACATCTACAAACATGTAAGTCCTTTTCAGAAGCCCATTATTATACAACACCACCACGGAGGAGTTTTCAAAAGTTATCATATTGTAAACATCACTAAATGGACATGTTAGACATTGCTATCATATTACTGGTAAACTCTCTTCCAGTTAACTCTCTAATACACTGTACATGCATATCTTACAAGTGTATCTATGGAATGATGCACAATACCTGAACATTAGTCGTCTTCTGGGCCTAAAATGTCCATTGCACATTTCCCTCGGATTCACAAATTAAAATAAGAGGCAGGCACAGATGAATTGTGCAGAATTCATTTCAAACAAGGTGATCACATTCCATGTTAATATTACAGAGACAATGAATACATTTGCGGCATGCAAATTGTAATGTAATACTGGCCTAAAAGCCAACAAACACTGATTGTAAATTGAAGGAAATCAGGTCATTGTGGCTAATTTCCAACACATTTCTGGTATATTCCATCCTAAGGCCACACCAATTTGATTTCTTGGTTCCTGGATTTTTGCGGGAAATCAATGAAGCGGACCAAAATGCTATCACTAGAGCTACTTCAAAACATATATTCCTGCTGAACATAGTACATGTATATACCATTTCGGGGATGACTCAGAACCTGAATGGTATATGTACATGATTAAAAAATGAAGCAGGCAAAAATGAGAAAGAAAGAAGTAAAATTGGCGTGGCCTAACTATATGTAAATGCGTATGAAAAAGAACTGAAAGGGATCCTTTCAGCCCTGGGCAAATGCTCACCAACACAAATTTGCCAACAAAATTTTAGGCCTTTCTTCAAGTTCCAGTACATGTACAAGAAGTGGAAGTCTTATTATATGTTTCCCAGAGACTTTAGCTCACCTTAGTTTGATCCAGCATCCTGTCCACACCAAAAGACATACAGCCAAGTAACTCACTGCACCTACGAGTAAAGTTTGAAAAAAGTACGTAAGCAAGGAACCAAACTAGAATGTCCAAAACAGACTATCGTGATGAGGAGATCGGTCAATTCCTCCTACATGTATGTATTGAGGAGACAAAATTAGAAACATTCTTCCCACACCATTGCATTGGAGAGCTTTGTAAACTTTGCTGGTCGTTATGCAATAGGTTTCAACTGCAGTTTCCAACACAGCAGTATGGCGTCCAGCCTTCTCAAAAGAAGCCGGCAACCCACGAAAATCACCACCTACTCAAATTTTTGCGCCGCCTAGTTTTGTGTAAATTTAAGAAAAAAATTGTAGTCTCCATTACAAACCCCTTCATGGCTCGCCTGCTACTTTTTTATTTCAGCCACCTACTCTAAATTTTTGTGAGAAGGCTGGCGTCACAGAAGCGGTGAATTGCTCATCCCTTAAAGAAAGACTGGAGTTGAACAGACAAAAATTTGCACAAGTCCAATTTCTTGTGTTTAACACACTCCAAACAAGAATATGTAAATCTTTTAAGTAAAGAGACTCTTCTTACACAACCAATAGTGTTTTATTCAGTCAATGTTTCGATGACTGATTGTCACCTTCCTCAGGGCAGTTCTGACTAGTTCAAATTGCACAGCACAGATGTTGCTGCTATTGATGCATTCCCAAATGTAAAATACATGACATCATGTATTGAAATATCTAAACTTTTTGTATGACTTTTATCTGTATCGAACAAACCCTTACTTCTTCTGCTTGTCTCTGTTCCACACAGCGATCTGCAGTCGTCTGCCGATGTCTTCAGGGCCGATCTCCCTGGGAGGGGAAAATGTCGAACTTTAGCAAAGTGTTAGCCTGACTAAACTGCATTCCTAGCTAGCCTCTACCAGGCACCGCGGATTGCTGGAAAAATAGTAGAAATTGGCCGAAATAAAGGAATAATATACCACGGGAGGTAGCCGGCCAGAAAAGATCCATTTTGCAAACCTGTGGGCCAATTTTTTCTACGATTTTTCCAGCGATCTGCAGTGCCTGGTAGAGGCTGGTTCCTGGCAGCCGCTGCCCGAAGGTTGCTGGGGTGGAGGTCATTAACCCCCGGCCAAAAGCTTGTGTAAACACAGGCTAAGCAAAGTGTCAGCTGGTATAAAATGTTGCACTTGTAATACAAACTTACCCAGAATAACATATTTTCAACACTTATGATTCAAAAAATCAATCGAGGCAGTGTTCCTTTGGCTAACGCAAATTGTCACTGTAACGTTACATAATTTAAATGCAGTACATTAAATTTTGTATAAATTCCTTGATAATAATGATTTTTTTACTGTTTACTACAACTGTACCTCTTATTTTGAGTTATGATGGATATTTCAACTTATATGTCTGACTCTTACTTACAAAAAAAAGTATGAAATCTATTTTATTTATTTTAATCTATTTATTCTTCTGTCATCCTCCCACAGTTTAAAACTATTTTCTGCATCTTGCAGGTACATACATGTACATGTGTATTTCAAGAAATAAAGTTCTTAACTGAAAACATTACTTTGCAATCTGTATATTCAAGATGACGAGTTTCATTTTACCATGGTCTTTGGAAACACAAAGTGAACGTACAGTGAGAAAGTTTCCTGGTAGTTTGGCTTCCTGGTGTCGTGAGCAATCTCTGTCTTACATCTGGTTCTCTTCTCACTGTCTGGAGCCAAGGACAGCTGAGGGCAGAAACAGTGTCAGAAAAATTGGAACACTTAAAATACACAATAAAACGACCGAAATGGTGTCCTAACAGTTACACACAACATACAAAACTGAAGCCCCTGTCACACATACATTTGTATGACCTCCCAAACACTGCCAAACCATGCTTAGGACTCATATAGGAGTAGGTCGGGAGCAAGGTCTGAGCTACAAAAAATGTATATCCTATTTTAAAGATTCCTGATCTGAATTACTGTACATTCATTTTTTTCAACAATGCTGTATTATAGATAGCAATACATTGAAAGTGCATGTTTATGAATTTGTGAGTCATGAATTTTGCGGTTTGACATGTCCCTACGAAAATTGAAAATAAAACCAGGTGCAACCGATTCAACATTTACAACTTACCTTCACATACGAGTCACAAACTTTCCTCTCCCGGGGCATCAGTCCTTTCCCCTGCATTACTACAATGGAAAAGAACAATAATTAAGAACACAACCTGACATGTGTGGTTTAAATGTAAGACTACATGTATATGGCTACACTACACTATTTAAAGGACTTGTTACACCTACTATCTATTAATGCATTAAAGAATACCAATATCATTATAGAAGTGTAATTTTAGAATTACTGAAGAAGACTTACATGTTCTGAGCATTACCAACTAAAAGTCTAATAAAACCACAGCTAACTAATACAGACTAGTGATACTGTTGATACACATATACTTACTGTGAACAGTGACAAATCCAGAGTTTTTGTAGATTGCAAGCTTCAGCAGTCCTAGAAATCAAACATGGCAAACTTAAAAGTCAAGAAATGTATCTGGGATCTAGACTAAGTACTAGTTGTTGAGTAAAGAACCTTCTTTACTGACTTTAGTTCCATATAATCATACACAATGTACATGTATAGCCTGTTAAACACACATACTGTCTCAGAATTTTGGTATATGGTATTCACACAGCCTGGACCCTGTATTAACAATTTACACGCACCTCTGCCTTTAATCTGTTCTTCATTCACCAGGCTCCTTCTTTTCTTCTTATTCCCAGCAGACTTAAACAGTGCCGTCCGTGGTTTTCGTGACTGGCCGACTTTTGAGGCCAGGACTCTCTTCCTGGCGCTGGCGTGGGTGGACACCTCCAGGCTTCTCCTGGCCGAGGTTCTGCGCTGTTTGGGGCGGGGCGGCGGCTCCCTCCGCGGCCGCTTGGCAGGACTCTGTCCAACGTCCATCTCAGAAACACTTTGTGGTTCAGTTAGAGGTCAGTAACAACTCAAAAGGTGGAGCTGTGGGTAAGATGAACAAATCACATCTGTCAATGGTACTAAATCAAAATTTATTTGTACTTTGTGATTAATTTATTTACAATTTATTTACCACATTGGTGGATCACAATTTAATTATGTTTCCTTCCATTAAAAAATGATATGTCTGTGACATTATATGTCTTAACTTTTCACATATATTTTTCAAACTTCCTTACGTTCCTTACCTCTGCTGCAAAGTCTTCCTTGTCCCCCTGACGACCAGTGTCGGTCATGGGACTAGGTAGGTTGGTAGGTACCAACCAGGCTAGCTTGACTTCTTCTAGAGTTACAGGTAAACTGGCAGTGTGAGACTTATAAACAGCAGAGATGATTGCCCTTGATAGAGCTGGCTGGAGAAACCAGACAGATCTAGAGGGGAGCAAGGGGCCAGTACCTGGCCTGAGCACATATAAATATAGGCAGTAGGAAGGCAGTGTGAAAACCGTTGAGCAGAGGTGTGAAAAACACATGTTTTGAACACCCATTATAGAGTGGAACTGCAAACTGACCAGTCTTCATAATAACTGTCTTTACGTTTTGTGTGCACAGTACAACAAAAAGACGTTTGTTTGAAACCTGTGGCAGCTGTGACTAATTACTTCCAGGCAGTTGGCTCCAAAAGTGAGAGCAGACCTGGTAACTACTTTTCAAACAGAGGTTGAAATGAGAGATTGCTACCTTCTTTTGACTTGCCCCAAATTCTGACAGTTGTCGAATAGAAGATATTATCCTCACCTTTATATCTATAACCTCCTTGAAAGAAGGTAGAAAGAGAGACAGAGAGAGGGAGACAGAGGGAGAGAGAGAGAGGGAGCTCGAGGGGGAGTCCAAAAACACAAATGGAGAGCCAGGAAAGAGAGACAGTACAACTGTTTCAGATCATGTTTATATTATAGTGTGGTAATTACCCTCATTACTACCACAAACACATGATTAATTAGTCAAATGAATGCAGAAATCAATTAGTTTTGGCAACGTCAACAAATTATACGAAATCAGCAATCGTGTCCCTTTTATATACTGTCTTCTGTTTGCGTGAAGTTATAAACAAGCGGTTGAAGTTGTGGGCTCAGATCCTGCTATTTGCAGCAGTGCGGAACACTTCATTTCAAACCGTGCAATAATTTCAAAACAAAGGATTGTACTTTTTCAACACGTAAAAACTTTGCATGGCATTCGAATTATTTGGCGTACATATCTTTTACACCTGTCCTGACTTATAACAAGCTTTAGTCAAGGCAGACAGCAACTATATGCACAGGGTGGACCGGTAAAAGAGAAGTGTAAGGGCCCGTTGTTCCAGCAATAAATATCCCGCCACATTTGCCCCCCTCCCATTCAGGTAAATTTCACGGTCCAAAAATTAGGTTACAGCGATCTAACCCAACCTGGATCGCCCTCCATAAAAATAGCAGAACAGTAACACTATGCTGACGTTTGGTCAGAAGCCACATACTTCAGTTAGAAGGAAGAACGAAGTTTACGTTCACAACTTACCGTTTCAAATCTGCCTCCATTCGGCTTGTTTGGTCGTTGGGGAAAGTGTACACAAGTCACGTGGCGGGGGTTTCATATTACGTTAGGAGGGGTGCGACCACGGTTTTGTACAGACAGTTGTAACGTTACTGTGAATGTTAGCTCGGACCTAAAACTTTGTTTAAACGGAAAAACTTTACTTATTTTCAAATCAATAATGCAATTCTGCAGTTAAAGAACTTCACGAGTAAATATGTACATTACTTAATGTCGTGGCCCCTTGGTTTGCTACTCATAATGGTATGACCCAAGTCGTGTTCATTTCAGGTACACGCAACGTTACGTGTCAAAAGCGCCTTCAGCGATTATATTATGAAACACAGATAGATAAATGTGAACCTGTTTGCTTTCTGCGTATTTTCAAAGTCACCTCGTATCCGAATACTAGTAACGTTTAAGAAAAAACACCGACACAAGTGTAAGACCGCACATATAACATTTACACGTTTTATTCGAAAACAACCCCTCCGCTGGGTTAGATACTGACAGCATATGCAAAGACTTTCATTGTTATATTTGTGAATTATCAAACTTTCGAGTCATCAAAATACTTTTGGTTCTGGTGAGATCATTTGTCATGAGCATATGGCCATATATATCATTCCTCTGAACTACTAGTGTCAGAGACGCAACAAAGCAGTCTGCAGGCTATTGTAAAACCGGAGAAAAATCGTCGAACCTTGCCTCCAGCATTCAAGTTCACTTTGCCCATGTTTTGCTCATGTGCAGATCTGTCAACCTCTTCCGACCTCAAACGATTTTGTGAGTCTGTCACTGTTTCCTCTTTGCAGGATACCCCGTCCATAGGCTGTCGATAATCTGAACTCTCCGGTGATGATTTGACCTCTTTACAAGCTGGTGGCTTTATACCGTTGCCATGTACATGCTTGGTTTCACATTCTAGCCGTGGGTATTCGCTACGAACTTGGATACCTGCAATGCCACATCCAGACGAACGAGGGCGCTGATTACCTACCATGCGTCGCGTTTTCTCGGTGAGGGGGCAGTGGAAACGGCTCTTGGTCTCTTCAGGGATCACATTTTGTATTTCAGGGAGAGACACTGTGCTTGTGCTGCTTTTCTTATCAAAGCCATCCCCTATCACAACGTCTTGACTTGATTGTGCCGCAGAAACTTTATCGTCCACCAGGGGTTGTGTTGCGCTGAGTGGAGACTCAGAGAAGTTACCAACGCTGTCATGAACAGGTGTGGCTACTGTTTTCTCAACGGGTCCTCTTGATAAGAAAGCATTTCCGTCGCCGTTCTTCTCAGCATTCGGCACAAGGTCAAGCTTTTTGACCTCAGTTCCAGTCATCTGTTCTTGCTTATCTCCACCGAGCTGTGAAAGCCTCTCAGATAGCCTCTCCTTGTCATCAGTTCTGTCCACACGTTCTTGTTTCTGTCCTGAAAGTCCAGTAGACATTTTGTCACTGTTACTGTTCAAGGAATCCAGGCTATATTTCCTCCACGTCTGTTTCCGGATGCGGCGCTCCTCTTCCCTCATCCGTCTCCTGCACCTGTCCCTCATCATCTTGGCGGTTTCCTTAGGCTCCTCCGTTCTAAGATCGACATACTTCTCCTGTTCGTCTTTCAAAGACAAGTGTCCGTCTTCCATCTCCAGAACCTCGAGGATGTCCTCGATGGTGTACAGCCTATCTGTGCCGTTAGGCGGCGCCCCTAACTTCTCTTCGACAGCAGATTCGTTTTTGGTCACCATTTCTAGGATTGAGATTGGTTCCATACTGCCATTACCGCCTGAAAACTTGGGTTGTTCTGGAACGTCAATATGGCGTTGTCTTTCGAACTGTTGGAGCCCTTCCTCTATGTCGTCCACCGTGTACAACGCCTGGGTCCCACTGTCTTTATCGTCAGAATCTGTGCGGTAAAGGCAAACCAAGCAGAAAGATATTATTACACGGAATAAATGAAAACTTAAATTTGTAAAGGGACTGTTCCATCCTGTTGTTGCGAAGTTAAGTCACGGTCTTTTGGGACTGACTGAGAGAGAGAAGGGAGGGGGAGAGAAAAAATTAGAGAGAGGGGGGGCGAGGGAAAGAGAGGGGGAGAGGTACATCATATAAAAGATGTTTATTATCTTTATGGAGCCTATAGACGTCGTCATGGTCTATTGAGTGGTATGGAGAATATTATTTTTCTTAATCCACATATCTATAAGGAACTTATCTTGTATATATCTTGTTTAGAGGATATTTCTCACGTTCTTATATAAGGCACAGTAGCCTGGGTACCATCCGGATTTTCGCTACGCAACGCTCGAAAAAATCACGATTTTTTCGAGCGTTGCGTAGCGAAAATCTGGATGGTACCCAGGCTAACAATGAATGACACTCGCCTTCTATCTTATTTAGCTTACAAAAATGGCAAATTCTTTGTTGCAAATTTATGCCAGCCACGTCGTACTTTAATCCCCGTCTATTTCCGCTGGAGTATATACATGCCCACATGCCTCAGGGCAAAAGACATGTTATATGGTTCGCACGTGTCACGGATCAAAAGGCTTAGGCCACATCAAACACATCGGACAGCGTGTGTTTCTTAGCATTTTTCAGGTAAAGTTGCAAATGTATAAACGATCGATTACGTTGATTTTAACGAAAGCAAAATCGTGATCAAAAAGTACATATGCCATATACGCTGGACGACGGTAATAAGGCTATGACGACGTGTACTTTAAAATTCGTTTTGTCAAGGACACTAAACCTCTGTTTTTTTACGTAACGTTATACATGTAGTTGAATCTCAAGCAGATCTATGGATGGTTTTGCCTCTTCAAAAAAGGAGGGCAACAATTCAACTTGCCATTCCATGGATCGAAGGAATCCGCGTCACAAAAATATACAAAATATGCAGAACGTTACAGTACACTGTTAGGAAATATACAAATAACTGCACATATCAAATAGATACATGTACATTGATATAGTAGATGCATGCACTATGCATTAACTGTTACATAACCTCGACTGATAAAAGTACATCACAATGTTCTTGCAGAAAGAGATCTACATAAACGCTAAGCCCTCCGAGAGCACATGGGCTGACTAAACTGGACTGTAAACTATCTTACCTTGTGCTCCTGCTGGCCTGGTACAGTAATCATCCTCTTCACTTATGAACAGAGCGATGTCCTTGACGCTCGACATGATGACGCTTTTGACGAAGTTTTTGCAGAATGTCTACTTGCTGACCGGTCTCAGAACTAGTATTCCAAACACTTGTACTAGTCCGCTAACTTTTCTACTTTACTTGTATAAAGTTCACACTTCATGATTTACAGTACAGCGTAAAGCCCGCGTGTCATCACCCGGTTAATCCTCTGATATTTACGGCTGTGGTGACTGAGCGGTGTCCCTGGCCCCTCGCCCGGGGTAACGTGAAGTTCTGGCCGCAGAGAGACCGTGAAGCAGATTGGTTTGATTTGTTTCCAGCTCAGCGGCTTGTTGCCAGTGTTTTTCCCAACTCCTGCTCCGTCCGAGAGGGAACGAAATCTCGCACAGGCTTAGTTTCTGGCTAGACGTCAAGTTTAAGGTCTTCAAGCACAAGAAAACGCCTCTACTCTTAGGATTGACGGAGCGGATTATTTGTGGGCAACATCTGCGTGTAAAACAATGGAAGTGTATCCATGGAGACGGTTATTTGATAAAGCAATTGTGCGGTATGCGGCGCGCGATACGCCAAGCGTTCGATGGACATAGCCTCCTCCACAGACTTTCTAGCGGGCAACTTTTGTTTCTCCGAGCGGATATGGGGCGAAGGTTTCTTTCGGAGGAAGGCCCTTGATCGGAGGGAGAGCTGTATCTGCGGAGAAAGCTAGCTTCTACCAGGCTTCGGGAAGCAGCTGGAAACATATCCGAGTGCATATGCCAGGGGAGCTGGTCCACGCTTAGAGACCAGTTCGCTGTTCTCTTAGCGCGGGCTAACTCCCTCTGTCTCATTGGCCGATTTCTACTCTTTCCAGCCTCTTCCCGAAGCCTGGAGAAACTTAAATGCTGCCCACTAAAAGTCTGCGCACGAGGCTACCATGAACCAATGACATTGTTTTGAAGTTCCGGGACTGATGGACTAGCATAGTACAGGTGTACTAGGTCATTTGATTTTGGTCCAATACACAACGGGCATGTGGCTTTAATGAAATGTTCAAGCAAAGTTTATTGGGTGAAAGGTATTACGGATCCTTTTGAACCAAGTCATTGCACCTAAACAAGCGTCACGAAATCAAAGTGAATCAGGAAGAACGTTTAGATATACAAGCCTTGTCATCACAAAAATTAGAATACAGAATTGTCATTTTTTCTGTTGGGAAAAAATATATGCGATCCAGGATGAGCCCGGATAATCTCCCGAAGTGCCTTAAAATATCGGGGCCCTCTCTCATAAGCTTGCTTGCAAATTTTAGCTTCGCTCAGCGCGCGGCTGGTTACAATATTGCCCGAGGTAGAGGAGAAATACTTCTCCTGGAATATCTAAATTAAGATGTAATAAAAATCTTTAAATGGAAAGAAATTCTAATATGTGAGACGTCATGCCTGACGTCACAATAGTTCAAGACTCGTTCTAAAACGTGATATCATTGAAAGCTGCAGGCAACATTTAAGCTATGCATGCAGAATAGGATAGAGTTCAATGAATCAATCAATGGACTTGACGATATACTTGATAAAGATAATAGTTTTATACTATTTGAAACTATTTCACATATTGTTCCTTTCCATTGCCCGCCTTTCCACTTATTTCTTCCCTCTGTACCGTTTGCGTGTCAGCTGATGAAGCTGAGATACAGCGATACTATTTGGATAATAAGGTCAAAACGGAGTGAACTTTGACCTCTCGTGGACGCTATGGCGGCAACGTGACCGGTGGGTGTGTTCGGATTCTATTCCGAGGAAAAATATCTTCAATTTTGGACCAAATTATCCGATTCTTCCGCGCCCAGCCGGAGATTCGTCGATTCCAAATGTTCCCGGGACAAACATAGGCCCCGAAAGATGGAGGATTGTGAATCCATTTTGAAATTTATGGCGGAAGACTTGCAGCCGAAGAAAGTGCGGCTGATTGACCTGAATCCGTACATCGTGTGTCGTTTGTGTGGAGGTTGGTAGAAATTTGTGTTTTTTCGGACGATGTCCTAGAACTTTAATAGGCTCCTTATCGTTATATTTAGCTCTCGTGTAGTTGCTGTACGATAAGTGGACAATATTACAGTGTTTTTATGATAGAACGTTGCGTTTTGATATCGGCTACAAAGGAAGGGTTATACATAATGATGTTTTCACAATGGCATCTGGGCGGGTGTTATAATCTCCAAGCAGATGTTAAGGCGGACGATTGTAGCGTTTTGGCTGCCTTTGTAGCTTCTCTGGACGATTGTGAGAAAATGTCGTGGTTTTCCGCCCCCAACATCTGCTTGGAGATTAGGGTGTGATCATAATTTCGCGCGGTTTTGGGGTCAATGGCCGGAAGAAAGAAAGGGCGAAGGGCAGGTATCATGTAAAAGCAACGAACATGTGTCCAAAAATCAATTATTCTCAACATTTTTCGTTTGTTCTTGTCCATAGTACTGAATAGAATCTTTTCCTTTGTCAGAATTTTTATGTTTCAGTTCCTGACTCATTATGTCATGTATGTTGTTTTGCTTTTATCTTTGTGTTTATTGATAATTATGGCATGTAAACTGGAACCACGTCTGGTTTTCTTTAATGCATTATTGATTTGTAGTTTATACATAACCAGCACTGTCTGCATACCTTATATAATAGCTGTCTGCAGGCAAATTTGTCATAAACATTGTTGCTGTCATACAATTTGATAGCCTCTTGTGCAGACTTTCTAACAGCCAGAGTTTGTTGCTACGAGCATAGCTAGAGTGCGAGTGGTTCTTTTTGAGGGACAACAGTACTATGTATAGGGGAGGGCTGTATTAGCTATTATTGGGCTGCCTAGAATGCCCTAGATTACTAGTATATAGCTCTTCTGCCAATACAGCCCACCCCACCCCAAATACATGTACAGCTCTCCTGAAAAAAAAAACTCTACCCATGCTTGTAGAAACAAACGCTAGCCACTAGAAAGCCTGTTTGGGAGGCTAATATTTTCATATCAAACATCATATTACCATACATCTGCAGGTTACCTGATCGAGGCCACCACCATCACTGAGTGCCTGCACCCCTTCTGTCACAGCTGTCTCCTCAAACACCTGGACTTCAGCAACAGGTGAGAACAGCTGGCCCACCTGTACTACATGTAGTACTGCACCTGTCTTTTTTTTTTTCAAATCATACCAAAGAACATATTAAACCTAAACCCAGGTGTGAAACCTAAACTATCATCCATTTCTTTTGCTCTTATGGTCCATACACTGACTATACACTGACTTAATATGAAGGAGGTTAATCTGTTGCAGAATTATGTGATGTATGATATGCATGTTTTGTTTCTCCCCAGGTGCCCCACATGTAACGTCATTATTCATGAAACAAACCCCCTGTACAACATCAGACCAGACAGGACTCTACAGGACATCATATACAAGGTAGGTCTCCAGAAAGGAATGTACGTCATACATGTGTATAGCATGGCATCAAATTGCCAAGTACCTGTACTGTAGTTACATGTATACTAGCAGACGGGGGACTAAGAGGTCGCATGTTTGATTCCTAATTCCTGGCAAGGAATTCTGAGTCTTTGAAAAAGGCACTTAACACAACTTTCTTCAATTGAATGAATACCAGACTTTTGTTGGGGAGGTATATATATTGTTATGCAATAAAGTTATTAAATATATTAAAGGCAGTGGAAGGAGAGGAAGGCGTGCCCTATGCCGTCCAATACCGTGCCCTGGACACAGTGGATTAACAACCCATTGCCCGTATGATCTTAAAAAAATTTTCAACATTATGTGTACTACTCTTCAGGAGTTTGTGATAAGATACCTTTTAACATTTAAACCTACATGTGTCTTATCCAACATCTTCCAGCTCCTCCCAGCCCTTGAGGAGGATGAGAAGAAGAGAGAGAAGACTTTCTATGAAGAGAGAGGGATAGAATACCCGCTTCGGCCGCCTACACCCCCACCTCCCCCTCCTAAGCCAATCAGAAAACCCCTTGCCCAGAAGTCCACCAATCAGGAGCCGTCATATGAGGACTCACAGGTTGGACCACCAACATGTAGATAATTTCGTTGAAATCTGAGAAACTTTTAGCCAATAATTCTCGTGGATGCTTTATAACGTCAAACTTATATTGGTATGATGGTAGGTTAGATTGCTGAAGGTTGAGAATTAGCCTGTAATGCATGTTTTCATCCACAGGTGTCGCTTTTGTTGGAGTTCTCTGGTACCAACCCTGGTGTGGCCTCTCAGATTAAGCCATTGAAGAAGAAATACGTTCGGGTTTCAAACCAGGCTACAGTGGGCCATGTGCAGAAGTTCCTCCTGAAGAAACTGGAGTTGGATTCAGACACTTTCCAGGTACAGTTTAAGTTGTTGTATAGCTTTGGTAGGGATGTTTACTCGGATAGTATGTAATATGGAGGTCCCGTGTTTCTCAAGCACTTACCGAAAAGATGGCACGAGATCAGTAACATCGCAGGATTTGAACCCAGGACCTCTTTGTTCTGAGCCGAACACTCTGCTGTTATACCACATAACACCATTCTGACACATGCGTGTGTTTCCCCACAGGTTGATGTTCTGTGTAATGATGAGGTGATTGACCGCGGCCTGACGCTCCAGACCGTGGAGGAGATCCTGGCTCAGAAGGTGGACGGGCTGATCGTGCTGCACTACAGGGTGGGGAAGTACTCCCCTGTCTCAGGGGACCACACCAGGGACTTCTGACAACCTCCAACATCGTCTGTCAAACTTAGACCTGGAACAGTTTGTTACACCATGGTCACACCAGGAACGGTTGTGCAGCAAACTGTATCACTGTAGCTTACTACAAGTCAAGGGGGTTTGGAACCTCCTTACGTGGGATCTGTATCTGGAACTGATTTTTTAAGGTCCACAGACTTCTGAATGTTGTTGTCTGGAAGGATTTGAAGTTAATTTGTATCTTGAAGCAGGCTCTGGCTAGCTTTCCTGGACTCTAAGGACTACAATCTACGGTTAGATTTTAACCATGAGCACGAATGTTGAACGGCTAGCTCATCAGTATTCCTGGGTCTTCTGTTAGCTGTTATGATTTGTGATAACTTTCACCATGAACTGTTAGTGACAAGAATATAACAACTGTTATTGAACCTGAAGCAAGCTGGATTGCTAGTAAACTATAACTTTGTCATCTGGAAGTAAAATCAAGAGTCTAGTGAATATACTAGACACTTGAAGCAAGCTGGATGATCATTTCGATAGTACAAAGTTGACAGCATGGACTCATTGTAATGAAGGACAGAAATAGCAGAATTTTACCCAAAAGAACTTTGAAGTGTCTACGGTGTTTTGTAGGTCAAGAAATACAATGTCTACACATGTGCATGTAGGTCTACAGATACATGTAGGTCTAAACGTGCATATAGGTCTACACATGTGCATGTTGGTCCACACATGTGCATCTACAATCATGTACATGTAGGTCTACACATGTGCATGTAGATCCCAGACATAAGAAAATGTATAACTGAATGCAAATGAGAGCACTCTGCGAAGAGCCCATATAAACTAAGGCGAGATTTTGTGATGCTAGATCCTCAGGGTACGAGCCTTGTACATAGCCTTAAGCATCGAGTCCCTGCACTGGAGCTGCTTGCATTACTGCTGTAGTAAGAAGCCTTCTGTTGCTGCTCTTAGGCCACACCTAACTAATATCTTGGTCTCGGATTTGCCAGCTATACTTTTTTCTGAGTTGAAAACAGGGAAAATTGCTTGGACTATTAGTATTCTTGATCCCCTAAAATCACACAATTGAATAATGTTCTTGTCTTTCTAACCACAAGGATTCTATAGTTGACGCATGTTTCTAATACAATGGAAGCATGGGGGTGGTCACCCCAGCCAGGTGTGTTTTTTTATTGAACAATTTCTTATTTTGAACACTGGCACCATTTCCTGCAAATGTCCGAGAGTTCATGTACTGCCTTTCTTTTGCAGTGTAAGAGTATCAAATTTAAATAAGAAGGCTTGAGCATGTGTTATACTGTAACAATGCTGTGTAAAGCAAAATTGAAGTCAAACTTTAGTTACTTGTGACATAAGGTGTGTTTTACTCAAGAATAAACACACAAACATAATTTTATGTATATATTTGTGAACATTAGTTTTGCTGCAATGATAGTGATTTTTCTTCGTGACATCTTATAATTAATGCTACATATCCCAAAGCAACTTGTAAAATGTAACAATATTGACAAACATATTACAAGGGTAATAAGTAAAGTGAGTTTAGATTTATAAGATTTAACTTTTAACAGAACTGAATTTGTTGAAAAAAAGTTGAAATACATGTACTGTAAGTCATGTAACTGTTGTAAATGTTTTTGTTGGTATTTCTTGATTAAGTTAACACCACAATGTTATATCCTTGATTCAAGTTGTAACCACCCAAACTTCAAGCAAATACCACATTGATATTTTAACAATAAGAGTACAATGCTATTGTATTTTTATGAAAAAGAAAGAGCACACATGGCTTATAATAAGGTGAATGCACTTCATGTATGACTGACTGAAATAAAAGCATAGGAAGCAGTACATGTAACATGCATTTAACGGACTTATAATGTATTTCCTTATGCAAAATGATTGAAAATGCTATAGAAAGTATAAGACAAAAGAACTAAAGTCTCTCACATCAAATGCTAAATTTTATATTTTGTATATTATGTGTGGAGCAGAAATGTAACAAACTATTATTCCAAACACAATTTCTCAGAATGTGCATGTTCCTTGGAAGCTGTGCTTTTGTTTTATGGGAATGCACATGGACAGTAGCTACGTACGACTTCATTCTAGCTTGAAAACCCATGTCAGTATGTAACATATTGTATTGACAATAAAATAAAAGCTGTACGTTTTTTTCAGCAGTCAACTGATGCTGTGTGTGTCCATACAATCTTTTGGTGACTGCTTGGTCTTGGACTTTCTTGTCCTTCATCCATACCTTGTACTTTCTAAGGTGACATCATTATCACATCTGTCGAATCCACATTATCTTTTGGTGGCTGCTCTTCTGATTGGTCAACTAAACTTTTGTTTGCATGGACTTCATCTGTAATACTATTACTTTCTAAACTAACAGGACTGTTTTTCTGATTAAGATCTGTGGAATCCACACTATCTTTTGGTGACTGCTCTTCTGATAGGGCTGATAAACATTGGTTTCCATGGGCTTCATCTGTAATGATTTTACCGTCTGAACTAACAGGATCGTTTTCCTGATTAATGATTACATCTGTGGACTCCACACTATCTTTTGGTGGCTGCTCTTCAGATTGAACAACTAAACTTTGTTTTTCATGATGTGCATCTGTTATGATTTTGCTTTCTACAGTAACTTGACTGGTTTCCTGATTGGTGGTCACCTCTGTAGACTCCACACCCACTTTTGGTGCCTGCAGCTCTGATTGGTCATCTGTAACAGGACTGGTTTCCTGATTGGTGGTCACCTCTGTGGACCCGACACCATGTGCTGGTGCCTGCAGCTTGGATTGGTCATCTGTAACGGGACTGGTTTCCTGATTGGTGGTCACCTCTGTGGACCCGACACCATGTGCTGGTGCCTGCAGCTTGGATTGGTCATCTGTAACAGGACTGGTTTCCTGATTGGTGGTCACCTCTGTGGACCCGACACCATGTGCTGGTGCCTGCAGCTTGGATTGGTCATCTGTAACGGGACTGGTTTCCTGATTGATGGTCACCTCTGTGGACTCTACACTATCTTTTGGTGCCTGCAGCTCTGATTGGTCATCTGTAATAAGGCTGGTTTCCTGATTGGTGGTCACCTCTGTGGACCCCACACCACCTGGTGCCTGCAGCTCTGATTGGTCATCTGTAATAAGGCTGTTTTCCTGATTGGTGGTCACACCTGTGGACTCGTTTGATGGCTGCTGCACTGATTGGTCAGCTGAGTTTCCATTTCCATGGGAACTGAGATTTCCCTCCTCTGATTGGCTGGATTCAGAATCAGATGAATCAGAAGAGGATGAAGAGTCTGAATCTGATTCATCGTCAGAGCTAGAAGTTGATGAGCTGTCCTCTACTGGGGTGTCTTCCTCTGTGTGCATTGAAGGAAAAAAGACACCGTATTAAATAAAAAGATACAAAAACAATACAAACACAGCACTAAGAACACACACAAAGGAAATCACCTAAAAAATATGACTTACCGGTACATCACCATATGAGGTGTTGAGTGGCTAGGCTAGCAAATATGAGATCAAGAGGTCACAGGTTCGATCCATAGCATTCTTGGCTAGATATTGTGTACTTGGGAAAGGCACTCTACCCTAGATTCACACACTTCCTCACTCCACCCTAATGTAAAATGGGCATCTGGCCCTGCCTTCTAATACTGCACCCTATACTGAGTGGACTAACAACTCACTACCCCTATCGCCTCAAATAGCTGTGGGACTACTTAACCTTTTACCATCAAGGAGGACTACAACTATGAAAGATACAGAAATATTTCAAAGGCTTCCGTACCTCCCACCAGTTTGTACTTGTGCATCTGCTCTCTCAGCACCACCAGGATTGTGGGGAACTCCACAACAACTTTGCCCCTCAGGTTCTCCTTCAGTGTCATGTCTGCATCCAGCTCATCATACCTGACACAAAAACAGTCCGTTCTTAGCCCACAAACATTGATAATGTACTAAGATATATTCAGCACAGCATATTCTTCATTTTCTTTTTTACTTCCGGGAAGTAAGTATTGTTTTGGGCGGCACTGGCACTGGCTTATAGCAGCAAGGATTGGAAGGGTATGGACAGAGATTGGATTTCAGGTGATTGACAGGGTTGTGACATGGTATGCCCTGGTTGGTAGGATGTTGTATGAGGTCGCCTGGAATGTGTACTGTATAATCATGGTATCAAAAATAAACCAAAGTGTAATACAAGAGTAAGCTACGCCATACAATTGTGTAATAATCAATTCTAACTTTTTCTAATTGTACAAATCGGGTAACTCAATCGGGTGTTTCCCCATGATAATACAACACAGTTCCAATACATTCATAGATATGGAAAATACTTCCTGGAAGTCTGACATCTGTGACATATGGTTAATACCTTGCTACATGTACATAAACAGATGAAAAGTAAGATCTGTACCTGACAGAGTTGGCCCTTCTCTCCTCAACTTTCATCAGTAGATGTATGTGGGACAACTCTCTACTGCAGTAGGCTTTGAGTCTGTAGTTTGAAAACAAAGAAAATTAGTTTTCTTAGAAATAATGCAATAAAAGTATATGTGTCTAATCAGATGGCAAAACTGTGTTGGTGGAGGGGGTGTATAAAAGCAGTCACTCATTTGAACAATCTATATGCCTCTAGCTCTCTACATTGCTCTACAATTTCACTGGCCTTGAAATATTACCCATCTATGATAAAAATCTATGATAAAAATACTGATACCTGAGTCTTACAACTGGGTTGGCCTTCTCTGGATCCACGTATTTCTCAAGAGCCGTTTTCAACACTGTGTCTTCTGGTACCCTGTGTGTTGGAGGGTATGTTATAAAGGGCCTTAAGTAGAACATTGAACTACATGTATTTCCCTATTGTATTGTCAACAATTTGAAATGAAAAAAATTAATGTATACGCTACAATTATGACTATGAATACATGATTTACTGGTGCATGTGGCAGTATGACCTTGGAAATACTACTACTAGTAGTAAGTCTATAATATCTGCCGAGCAAAGAACAAGAAATAGTCATGCCTTCAAGCACCACAGTTAGTAACCTAGGATTGACATGTTTTTTCCTGAATCTATTGCTGCCATGCTGCACCACTCACTCAGCTTGTGTGTTACCACAAAGGGCTAACCAGATTCAGATTTCATTCTCTATGGAAAAGCAACAAAAATGTATCAAGAATGTATGTGACTGTGGCTGTAGTTTGAATAAATGGTATGTAAGTCTTTACCATTTGTCAGAGTACAAGGCCTCTAGATCTGACTGGGGGAAACTCCACTCAACTCTCCAGTTCATCATCTGGAACCTGAAAAACATTAGGAGAAGATCAACAGATATAAAACAATGTACAACTGTTTAAAAGATAAGGATAAAACCTAACAGTATGGTTTGAATCTGTCCTTACTTCCTGTTGAACTGTGTTGTGTTCTGTCTCCGTCTGGTAAAACCTGCCGGCAGCAGTTTCAGGGTGACCCCCGACTGGCGGGCCTTGCTTCTCAACAGGTTCATCTGAAATGTAGACAATTTACATAAACCTCAATCAATCAATGAATTGATCAACAACTCAACTGGTAAAGATACAACCGTGGCACCAAACGCAACTGTATGACAGTCTAGGGTAACTTTAAGTTGACTTACAAATTTGTTGTTAGTCCTTTTGTGTGCTTGTACATCCCTGTTGGCATTGTCCACTCTTCTGTCCACCTCCTCCAGAAATCTGTAATCTGAAACATACAGACTCATTACTCTGGGACAGAAGTATTGTTTTTGATCACGTTAATTGATAGTTTGTGTGTTTGTGTCGAATCTGCATGGGACCTTGGAAATTGAGTAATGTGAGGTTGAGGTTCACTGAACTGATGGGGCTGTTGTTTGGGGTGGCCTGAATATGTGATACTGCAAATAATGTGACTGATACGTCGATGAAGGTTAGACATCCAGGTAATACGATATGCCAAAAAACAGTTACTCAAGCAACTGGATATGATTTTGAAAACGTCAGACGTTTCAGCTAGTATCCACTAGCTTTCGTCAGTGACTGAGAGACCAGAGGGGAAAGCAGGTTTATATACACAACCTGTTGATTGATATGCAAATAAAGTGAAGACAAATTTTTGGAAGTCGAAAAAGGAACAAAAGTCAGACAAGTCAAGACAAGATGATGCAAATTAGTCTGAAAGCTCCTGTTATACAGGACAGGAGCTTAAGTGTTGTCTGTCCTCGGGGCTGGGAGTGCCAAATCCCAAGTGCCGGAAAGATCGACCCGTAGCCCCCCTTCCCCTCGTTGAGGGTGGGGGTTGGTACATTCTTTCTATATATTGTCCTCTTTAAC